TTCCGACCTTCTGCGTTCTCCAAAGACGGCAATTGCATCTATTGGAAAATCTGTTATTCAGTATTATGCTTTATCATTCAGAGTAACTAATAGACATCCTTCAAGATCGGCCCTTCACTGCTTTCATAGCAGCATAATGTAATGCAATGAATTACTCTTGGGCCAATGATGAATCGTTAACCGTAATAATATTATGTGTTATACTATCTGATTATGATAAGCCATATTAAAAAAGAATTGGTCAGAGTAAAGGAGTAGATATAAGTTATATATGATTGTGCAATTATTTCAGAATTGAAATGGCGATTGAAACTATATTTGCTGCAAAGCAGAGAGTAGAAAACGCATGTTTCTTCCTGAAAGGTAGTACATTTCTTCTAAGTCATCAAACCATCTGACATATATGATAAGTACACTTTTGCAACATTTTTTTGGCAAAAGCTGGTCTACAAGTCATGAATCTGCTAAAGTTAAATAACTGCATCTATCATTGACAAAAATATAAATACGCATAGTTGTTATATAAAAAGTATAAAAGTATGGTGCCATCTTGCTCAGTTTATATGACAAAGATTGTTATGTAGTCTTTGTGATTAGGAAAAATAATGACCAAAGGGCGAAACCCCGAGGCCATTATTTTCTCCTAAGACCCAAGACGAAATGTTTATCTCACTTAAACCACACACTGGGCGTTGACTCTTATCAAAGGTAGGTGGTCCATAATCATAGTGAATAGGAAATAATTAGCTTAGCTTTATTGCACATCATGTGACAGTCAATCGTCTTTTGTGCTGCACTGGTTTTGGATAGCTTGCCAAGTGTACATTCTTAAAAAAAATAAAAAAAATAATGCACCTCTTTGTTATTATTTGCTATTCTTAGTTTAATTGCAATAAAACCACACCTAGTTAGCAATGCAATGGAATGAACTGTGCTTTATTTTTAAGAATATCCAGCTATAACAAAGAGGAGTGTATCATTTTACTCTTGTTGTTGAAGAATGTGCACTTGGCAAGCTATCCAAAACCACTGTGGCACAAAAGACGATTGACTGCTTTTTTTATTTTTTAAAATATGCAGCTATAGCAAAGATGAGTGTATTATTTTACTCTTGTTGTTAAAGAATGTGCACTTGGCAAGCTATCCAAAACCACTGTGGCACAAAAGACGATTGACTGCCACATGCAGTGCACTAAGGCTGGACTAATTATACCATATCCATTCTAAACTGTAATTCCCCGATACATACAGCATATAGAAGCTGGCTAAACTAATTATGTCCACTCACTTGTAAAAACTTATTATGTCCACTCACTTGTAAATACACTTACCTCATAGTCAATACTAAAGAAATAGTTTTTTCCCTAAAACTGGATTATGGACCATTTACCTTTTATAAGTCAGTGCCCAATTTGTGGTTTAAGTTAGATAAACAATGAGTCTAGGCTTCGTCCCTTGGCCTTTGTTTTCCCTAAGACCCAAGACTCATTGTTAATCCCTAACATAATCATACCTAATCTTAATGAGATTTCTGGTTACAGATGAAAAACCGTATTGGTTTGATTTGAAAGCAGTTGTACAGGGACTAAAAGAAAATGTGAACGCAGCAATTAAGGCCCTGGAGAATTTTGAGGAATGGGCTGATACAGAAAAATCAAAGGATGACCAGTTCGATTCTTTTTTTGAGTTTGATGCTGTAAGTTAAAATCATAATATCGGTAATTAGTATTTCAATGAATAATTCGGTATAGTCCGGACATACTCTTTCATGTTATGAATATTTTTTTGTGGAGGAAACATATTGCTATTTTCGAAAAGATGTGGCTATATAATGAGTGATAAAATACATGTAAGTCTATTCTATGTACTCTTCATAGTTGATGGATAACTCTTGTTATGATCATATATGTAAAATTAATTATTCCACGTTACATGATGTTTATTCGCACTTGTATGCGCATTTTTAGAAACTAGTGCGGAAACAGATTTTAATTGAACTTCGAATCAGCCTTGAACGTGTCTCGCTTGGACTTGGACCACTGGGAGAGGTTTTGTTGCCCTTCCTCGAGACATTTAACGATGTGGTAGATTCCATACAAGATATTACAAAGGCGTTAAGAGGACTTAAAGAAGGGTAGATATTATTGACGAATTTAAATAGAATTAAAATTGATAGTATGATTGTGTACTCTTACCTGAAATGAAATAACATATAAATATACTTTGTCAAATATGATATAGGTATGAGCTCTCTAAATCCTTAATAGACAATGTGTTTGGGCCAAAGATTGCAAAGCGGTTTCCGAGGAAATATTTGGAATCAGAGAAATGTGGAAATGGCTTTTATCCATCAACCCAAAGAGGAAACTATGAATATGACGGTGCACAACTGCAAGTAGATGCGGGGACTAAGGTATTGAGAATAAACCAATATATTCATTAAATTCGAATCTGCACTTCATTCATTGGAATCAAGCTGGTTTCCTGAGCTGGTATTGTGTTTCCTTCACAAAATTTGCTGTGAGAATACTTTAACAACTTCGCAATAGTAATATTGAGGCAGCCTCGATTTGTGGATAGACAGGAACACAACCAACTTTACTGATTACCATATACCATATAAAGCTAACCTACTTGTTAGTCATTTACCAACACGTAATGTTGAAATAGAAGAGCTGGTTATTGAATCGGGGTATTGACTTTTTAAAATTGTTTTATTATAGTTATTCGAATGTTAAAAATATAGATGATTTACTCGTTGGTATTGATCGCATCGTATATAAGATGAAACCTCGACGTACTACATATACAGGGTGGGCCAAAAAACGCCACTTTTTTTCAAAATGCTATAACTTTTTTAATTTTTGATACAAAATCATAATTTGCATACCAAATGAAACGTGAGGCTGTTATCTAGCCATGGATTATGGATTATACATTTTTACTTGAATAAAATATGTCACCAGCGTCTCACTTAAACATGTGGTGTGCCATGAGAAATAAGCATAATTTGCAAAATGTTCCTTCACTGATATGCCCTGATGACCGTTAGCTAATAGCCCTAATGCAAACCCAAGTGAGTATTGGGTATGGGGAGGTCTCTAGGAGATGGTTTGAAGGCACCAAAACTTAAAAATTGCTCAACTAAAGCTGGCAATTAAGACACGTTGAAAAAAATATAGTTAACATTTCATTGATACTGCTATATCAGCAAGGTGACTAAAACTAAAATCTATCATCCAATAGGGTGGCGGACCAATTGAACTCCTCTTTTAGATCAAATATAATCCCAGATAAAGGACTTGTTACATATATTATTAATAAGAACCCTTGGCACTATATAACTGCAAGATTTGGGGTATGTAGGTTGGAAAATAAAAAAGTTATAGTGTCTTGAAAAAGGTGGAATTTTTTTGGCCCACCCTGTACAATTGTAGTTTCTCATACTACTTTTGTAGATAGTTGTTCCCTTTTCTGGAAGACTATTTATATCTGGACAAAACCAGGTGACTATTCATATTGAAGAAATGAAGGACACTGAACTGGTACTTGTCAATGTCGATGTGAACCAGAAGAAGAATAATACCATGGTAAGCTGTACATTTTTCACGAATATTAAAGGCTAAAAGATTGAAAAGTTCTCTTTGACGTGTAATGTAATCTTACCTATCTAGTGTTAGATTATGGTTTAGGCTAGTCTAGGTTTGTATGCCTTATGACTGGTGTGCTCTAGCATGTTTTCTTTTTCTTGGTATTGTTCTGGAACAGCTTTTGGACATTTCCCATTGGCCTTTAGCGTAGGCTGCATATCTATATTTTCATTTTAAAACATTGTTTTTGATCAAAAATAGTGCGAACTTATTTAAAATATAAATTGTATTGAAACACCTATTGATGATTATTCAATTATTTACACCAATGCATGGCGTACATTTTTCAAATTCAAAAATTATATAGACAAATGTCTTTATCAGGTATACAAAGATGAGAACCTCGGAAGAGTTTTAAAATCTAGTCGATGTTCAGATGACCACATCCACTTTTCTCTGAAGAAGATAGGAAGAGATGGAATTATTGATCCTACTCGCTACTTTGAAAAGCGAAAAATGGAGAAACCAAAATGGGTGTCAGGCTGTGATGACTACAAACTAATATTTCTGGTGAGTGTGTAGGGCCTCTAAATTAAGAGTACCATCTAATGCCAGCATACCAGCGCTTGTGACTGGTAATACTGCACATAGTGCAATATGACACAATAAAAATGCAAAAGACAATCGATTTTCAGAATGAGGTCATTGCATCCGGATCAATTACAGGTGGTCCAAAAGATGTGGATACAACTCCAAAGCAGCGAACAGTTATGGAAACTGAAATGCCAAACGGTAATAGATTTGAAGCTTATATCTACAAAAATTACAGTGTTTTAGTAGTACAATACATACATTTACATACAAAAAAAACAATTGCAGTCCTCGTTCACCAATTGATTTACTATCCCACGCGAAAGTAGTTCGCAGGGATATATAAAAGCTGTTCTTCCATTTTTCCATTCGTTCGTCCGTCCGTTCGTTTGTCTGAACAATAACACAAACGCCGGTTCATTGTTCGACCTCTGTTCGTGAAAGAATGTTTGATATTGCCACTCAATTCAAAATCGCCCTTTTTTAAGATGTACTCGTTGATAACTCAAATACCAGTGGGCCAATTTTTGAATTTTAAAATGACAGCAATTTTTTTCTTAAAAATAGTTCAATCTTTGATTACTCAAATATCAATGGATGGATTTGGTTCAAATTTTATATGCTGATGCCCAGGGTCACAAGGGCTCTGATTGAGAGAGAATTTCAGGATGGCAGTTGAATTTTAAAATGGGCGCCATTTGATGTGAAAACGTAATCTGATAAAATGCCAGTGGACGGATTTGGTTTAAACTAAATATGACGATACCTACTGCCTAGGGACAAATGAGCTCAGCTTGAAAAATTAATTTTCGAGGTGAC